CGTGATGAAACAGTATCTATAACATGCTTTATAGGTTCAGAAAAATGCATAATGAGTTAAGTTTACTTGCAACTGTGTATAAAAAATAACTTAAAAATTATTATCTTAATAATAAGAAATAGGAAGTTGTAGATTGTATGATTGAATTGTTAAAATCTATGCTTGTAGCAACAGAATTATTATTATTAAGCTCATATCTAACTATCTCTGATATTTGTTTAACTTTTTTGAAACTTCTTCATCATCTTAGTAAATTTATTAATAATGAATCAAGCTCGACTAAACAATATATAATAGCAGATACTATTTGATTTAAACTAGATAAATATTGGTCTATGCTTGAAGAATCAACTATGATTGCTACAATTCTTGATCTATCATTCAAGCTTATAATCTTTTCTTTTGATGATAAAGATGCTGCTCTTACTAGCCTATAAAATATGATAATTTACTATAAATCACAAGTTTTACAAACAACTATGAGCACTTCTATTCTAAATCAACTTCTAAAAATAAACAAAAATTTTTTGAGTTATTATTAACACAGCAACAAGCAATTGAACAACCTTTAATAAAGAAACTAAAATACTATATATCTATGCCAACAACTATTAAAAATAACTCTCTTTTATAGTAGGCTAAAAATGAATATATGTTTCTAATATTTGCAAAAATGGTATAAAACTATCTTTCAATCCAAGAAACAAGTATTTCTTGTGAGGAAATCTTTTCTACTGTAGCAGAAACCCTTACAAAAATTTATAACCATATTGATTTTCAGACTACCCATGCATCACTCTGTCTAAAAAGTTAGATAAAACAAGGTATTGATATGCTAAACTAAAATCAAGTAAATTAATAAACAAAAATATATTAAATATTTTTTTTAGTATTTTATATCTTAGTATTAGTATCTTAAATTTTAGAATTATATAGATTTTTTTATAAACAAGAAAAGCTGTAAGGCTAACATTATATAGATTTTGTTCAATCATAATATTATATAGTAAATATAAGTTGATTTAGTAAGAAATTTTTATTATAATAAGTATTAATATTTATAATAAATATTATTTAAAATAAATAAAATACAAAAGTTCTAAAGATTTGGGTCTCGTAGCTTATTGGTTAAGTTCTCAAACCCTACAGACAAGGTCGACAGTTCAAGTCGGGCTGGAGACAAATTGAATAATTTGTTTCTGTAACCTTCAGGGTCATAATTGAATGCGGAGCCCTGTGGCCAAGTCCAAGTACAGGTATGAAGCTAGAATAAAAATTCCTGGAAAGAGACCTAAATATAGAATATTGGCACTATGTGTAACTATAGTGTTATAGAAGACTGCAGCTATAAAGATTATACAAATAAGTCCTTAAAAGACTGAGCAGTACCAATATCCTTGTATCTCCAATTTTAGCAATACCAACATCCCTATATCTAACTTGTGGGGTACTTGCTTGGAAAGGTGGTTAACAGATTGCGCGAATAAGTCTTTATTTGGAAAAAAGATACGGGTACTTGCTTGGAAGAGTGATCATTATAACCAAAGTTGGAAGTGGTGAGAAAAGTGGTGAACATGTGGACAGTCTGTGGTAAAAGATTGGCCTTATCAGAATCAAAAGCACCTCTGGCAAAGCAGAATAAAGATACTATAGAAGGCTAAGATTATGGAGGTTGTTTAACATTCTGTGTATGTATAAAGATACTAAATCAGGCTCTAGTCATATCTATATAGAAGTTTATGACGAACAAGTCTAGAATCTACCAACCTCTGGAGTTTACAATAACAAATAGTAGTATAGTATCACTGGGGTCGGTGTAACTCTCTAGAAATAACCAGAATTGTTCTGATATTGTATGACAACATGCTAGAAGCAAGCATTATATAGTAGTATAGTATCACTAGGGTCAGTAAACTCTCTGGGTATAACCAGAATTGTCCTAGATGCTTGTAAAATATGTTCTAAACTCATTATAGCAGGTAGTACTTAGAAGAACTGAAAAAGGCACTGAGTAACTATATAACGTTAAGACCTGGGGTATCTGTAGTTGAGCTGCGATAGCAGAAACTAGCTTGAGATATGAGTTAGTAGTACCTGGGCAGATAAGTAGTAGGGGTTATTCGATAATGAAATACCAATACTATCATGTGGTGAACCTAACTAGGTAGCAGTTTTTGGCTTAGGATATGAGTTCTTGCAGATCCTGGACCAATATCAGAATATCTTAGAGAAAACAATAATATAGCACACCAAACTGAGAGATTATAAAGATCTATAACCTGAATGTTACTAATTTGGAAGTTGTATAGAAGCAAAATAGTAGAAGCAGAGAACATAGGCTTAGCTAAATATAATAGTTTTAGGATGCAGGAGTAGTATCAATACAGGTATGATCCTCCTCTACTAGCTCAATGGTTTAATAACAATGCTTCTTCAAAGTTGGAAGATACTCTGATCACAAGTGTTGGCCTTGGTCATAGCGTGCTAGTGGTACAACAAGGATATATCTAGGTACTTATTTGGGCAGCTAGGTAATATTGTCAGGTTTTTGTATTAAGTTAACATAGTCTAGTAATAGGTTGTAAAATATTTCGAACAATTATGTATATATTCTAAATATATCTAATAAAGAAT